ATATCTTTAATTATACAAAAATATAATAATAACTACCCGCATATCCTTAACTATATAAAACAAAAAATGAGTAAAAATTGCAAATTTTTAATTAATTTAATTTTTAAAATCGTAATATTCAAGATTCTTCAGTAATACAATTTTTCTTATTCCATATTTATCGCATATCATAAACTTCTATAAAAAAAGTGGTTCATACATACGATATCTCCATTTTCCTTTTGTCTCAAGATTTAGATCGATTATGATGATTATCCGCCATTATAATTACAAAGAAGTCTGAAACAAAAAATGAATAAAATGAGTTAGAAATTATCGTATATAATCTTTGTTTAGTTTAACACAAAATTACGGTGTTAAACAATCGTTCAGTAATACATTTTCTTACGCGATATTCCGTATTTTCGCATTCGTACACGCAGTGTCCGCTCCATTTTCTTTTTACCGTTAACTCGAGAAGTTGTGAAATCGACATCTCGAATCGAATGACGTTGCGACATCGATAGAACGAGAATTTGCTATCGAAGGTCACGCACTGTTGAGGTTAGGTTACCGTCAGGTTGTTTCATCGCTGAACATAATTTGCTTCACAACTTCGCGTTAAAATCACTGGGAAGTTTCGCGCTGAGGCGTTTCTCGTGATCAGTGACTTCGATCGCAAATGAAAAGTCATCCCGACGGAGTGCTGGTGTAAAGAAAACATGGCGACAGCGAAGACGGTACTACCCGAGGAGAGTGAGCTAACCGTTCAGGAGCTGAACGTCAGCTGGCCGGTGCTGCAAACCGCGTCCGTTTATATCGGCAAGGGCTGTGAATGGTATAACAATGTGAGTTGTAACTTCATTTAGTAGCCGGATAATCACGCTGATATCCTACACTGTTTGTCATGCATCGAGCCGTTCCCCTTCGAAGAATTACATAATGTCTACTTCAAGTCCCTGTAATGATGTATATGACATGTATACACGCTTTGTAAATAATAATATATCTTTAATATTGGTTGTAAATAATAATATATCTTTAAATAATAATTCGCATTCATCTGAGGCAGCATGTAAATAAAATACTTTATAAGTTAGGGCTGATTTTTCCACCTTTGAATAAACTATGGATAATTTATCTAATGAACAAAAGAAATAAGCAAGAGAGAAAAAGAAAAAGGACAAGAAAGAGTAAGCTACAATTTATTAAAAGACAACAATATGGAACAATCCAACCATAGTCTTTTAATTAAATCATAGACTGTTTCATAATCATATTAATTGGTTTCAGTAACACCCTTATAATTATTAATTATTGACGTAAAATGTCGTATAAATGATGATGTAAGAAGCTTCTTACGTCATGATATAAACGCTAGTTAAATCGGATTTTATAACATCAGTTATAAAACTGGATTTAATTAATATTTACGTTTTATGTCAGCAGTTAATACTACTGACATAAAATATAAACGCGCGCGCGCGCGCGCGTTAATTATAACCATAGATATTATTAAATCTGTTTAATAGCACGTATAAATGTAGTTAGTATTACATTTAGGTTGTTTTCTCGCATAGCGTGAATAAAACGAATGTGATGTACGAATACAAGGAATTTGTTTCATGAAGATTTATAAATATAAGAATTATATATTTTAATCTAGTACTTTCAAAGATATACATACTAAACATGAGTCGCATTCTAATTGCAAAAAATGTATTTCTAACACAAATAAGCAAGATAGAATTTCTTCTTCAGGAATTTATCTTGTGCAGACAAGAAGAGCGCGACCCACGTCGCTGTATCAACGAAGGAAAAGCCGTGACATCTTGCACACTAGATATTCTTAAAAAGATGAAAAAACACTGCCTAGAAGATTTTAATGCTTACATGTACTGCCTTGAGAGATCAACGGGGACATTGGAATTTTCTCCGTATGTCATTTTATATTTTATTGTTAATTCTTCATCTGATACTGATCATGGCAATGGAATAATGATGTGTATAATAATATGAATATTACTTAGATGCCGAAAAACGCAAGCTGCCTTGGACAATTGTGTTCGTCAGAATTTGAATATAGAACGTCCACCCTTTGGATATTTTTGCGAGGCTAAAGTGCATAACACATCAAGGCCACGGCCGGAACCGGAAAAGCCTATAACATTTCCAGATCCATCTCCTGGACTGCCATCCGATGTACCACGTGAGAAATCGAAATACTCCAATCGCATGTGGTATAAATCCTAAATCTCTCAACAGATATCGCTATAGTCCTTTGGTCGTGCTGTAAAAATTATATTTTCAAGACTCGGAATACATCAGATATCTAGATTATTATAGGGAAACGAGTGTAATTATATATGTTCTGTGAATATAAACATATTAATAGCAACTTAGTGATAATTTGCTTGATCATTGTTGTTACAGCTTGTATAAATATAAATACGAAGCATATGAAATATACTTTTTGTTTGTCCATCTTAATTGTACGTAACGTTTAATGTCATAAAACCCATATATGTATATTATCTATATTAAAACATAAGTATTGAAACTGAAGCTCTGGAAAATATTTAATATCGTAAAAATGAGTTAAAAAATCAGTTTAGATTAAGAGATCATAGAATAAAGTTAAAGGATATAGCTCGTGGATAGTGAAATAAATAATAAAGATGCAGTTTGATTGGGTTCTTCGAAAAAATTATATACTTCATTTGTCATACGTCACATGACTTCATAACAAAATTTTTAAAAGCAGTACGAGCAAAAATATATCAACATATTATCGTTTTCGGATATCGGAAGATACGTGATAATAATTAATTAAGAATATTGCTTTATCGATATTACTACGGCATTTTATGTACATGAGATACAATCAACTTTAGCAGTCATTTAAATATATATACTAAAAAACGATAAATGTAATCTTTAGAAACGCAGATATACAAAATACATGACATATATACTGTAAATGAATGATAATTCATTTACGCATAAATCACGCATATATAAACTTATAAATGTGTGTGACACATTTCTTTACGAAAGGGTATATTTAAAACCGATTAGGAACCGATGAGGAATGTAACACCGGCTTCTACTTAATTCTATGGAGCATAGCCGTATGCTGCTGACATAAATACAGATTTCACTGTTGATTCATCGCAATTGTTACCTAATCTGTTGAATATCAAAGAAGAAATGCACGCGATATTCTTGTGCAATCTACAAGTCTTTATAGAGCATAATCATGTGTTAGCTCCATGTTATATCATAACCGCTCCAATTTGCACTTGGTGCTAAATGCACGCGTCTTCCATTATAAAAAAACGTCACCACACCGCGGTATCCTGATCTTGGCACACCGCTCTGTAATACACATTTTCGAGATAGTACATATAATTTAAAATGAATTAACAAGAATCTTAATGAAAAAAGAATATATTACCCTGAAATCGTCCATTAAACCAAGTAATTTGGTAATATTTTTAAACGATTGACGAGTGTAATATGGTATTCGTACTGGACCAGGGGCAACAATATTTCCACTTTTCAATTCGGAATAGCTGACCACTGTCGACTGATACACTTGGTTGACGAAAGCTATATCGTAATTATCCTGAAAGTAAACATAATAATTATAAATATACTTTGAATTCAGTAGATATGTATTTGTCAAAGATTACATCTGATGTTTGTTCTCTTACTTTTAATAAATAGGATAGATTCATCTTGGTGAAAGGCACAAATTGTTCATTTAGCTTGATGTACTTCAGATGTTTTTCAAAGAATAAGCCGCTAGAAGTAACAAGACAAATTTTGGTGTCGATTTAATTTACTCAAATTATTTTACTTTTAATTATTCTTATCAGTCTCGAGTTATAACATTTATCTGTAGTTTTTTAATGTAAAAATAATATATAAATAAAAAATATGGATAAAAAGAAGTACTTGCTGACTCCAAGTTTGCCGAATGTTCTGGTTCGTGAGATTTCCGGGCGGATGCAAGCTCTATTCTTACGCTGTTCCGGCTGCCTTATCCAGTCGTCCCAGTATCTACGCAAACAGGTGTGTCATTATTATATTATTACATTATTATATTACGCAAATATTATAGATAGATAATAAATCAAGTTACATTAGCTTACATTAAAATATAAAATTATACTTACGATTTGGGCCACTTAGGTGCAAGCTCTAACCATAAATCGCGTGTGAGCATCCAACCTAAGCCAGGAAAGAAATCTGTCCTATACAGTAAATGTGGCGCATGTTCGTCCACCAAGCCGGCTTTACCATTATCATTCCACGCAGATACACACCATAGAGAGCTATCATTCACTAGTAAGGGATAAGTCCCCAGGAAGTATTCATAAAAATCTGGAGCGACGTCCAAGTCGTCTGTATAAAAATTAGAAGCAATCTTAATTAAATATCTTTAATTCTGTAGAATATGTCGCACTCGTTATATAATAATTATGCTCATAAAGATTTAATTACACTATCGTACCTTCAACTATAATTGCAGTATTATATCCAAGCTTCAGAAATACTTGATTTAACGCCCATTTATAGTGACGTGCGATTTTGAAGTATCCCCTGAATTTCTTTTCTTTAGGTGGTATTTCAATATCGGACTGATCAGGTTGCTGGAACGTGAGCATAAAAATTGTAATACATCCATCGTAAGAAATACAAGTAAAAGTATAATCTCATTAAAATTGAAAAAAATCAAGAATACCTTCATATGTAGCAGCTGGTTTCCATATTTTGCTATGACATCAGCAGTTTGTCGATGATCACAGTCTTGCGATACAACTATTGGGAATTGTTCTTTACTAGGTCTTAACTTAATTAATTGGTTTAGACATCGCTCTACTGTAATACGATTACAAGAAACGACCAAAATAGCTATTATAGGAGATCCGTCAGGAAGCTTTTGTCTCGAAGGAGTACTGTGTGTTGCCTCAGTCTACCGAGAAATTGCCAAATTAAGAATGTGAAACAGTTGAGATTAAATGAAGACAATTTAAATCACATATTGAATAAATAATTGAAACTGATAGAAACGATTAAGTAAAATTGTTATATAGATTAATATATTACAGATAAGACAACTTCCTGTGTCGGGCTTTGTTCATCGTTAGACATCTTCCATTTATTTTTGTTTTCGATTTTTTGCAATAATATACTCTTATCCTTATTGACTTCATGTTTTTTGTTTTTATTTTTCTCCACATCACCTATTGACAACTGGGCATTTAATCTATCATATTCTTCTAAAATAACAAATCATTATATTTGATTTATCCATCCTCTCAAATGTATGTATATACAAACTCTTAAATTCATCTTACTTTTAAGACGTTTGCTCTCGTTGATTCCTTCTAGAAGTTCCTGATTTATAATTATCTGCTGTTTTACTTGTTTCTCCAATCTGCTGATTTGATTTGATAGCTTGTCCTTTTCCTAAAGGCAAGTATACAATAATTACAGTCTTACTTCTCTATATGGTGTGCTATACAAGCTCACCTTATCCTGATCCTTGCCAACTGATTGTTGATCCAAAAATAAAAAATATGTAGCCACAGCCCATAAGATAAGGGACCCAAAGATAATACTGATTGATCTATTCCGCATGACAAAACCAAGTGTCACCTTAACTGTAACAAGAATACACTGCAAATAGAAAGGTATGCAAGGCGTATACTTACAGTAGAAAACGAGCGGATACTAACAGGATTTCCACACGTTGCAGTGCACGTCAGTACATATTTATTAAACATGGATTCCTAAACGTGTTAGCCAAGTCTCGTTTCTGCTGAAAAATTGCAACAACTGTTAAAACACATTAGGTCTGTTCTTCCTAGCTGGACTTCTTGCCATTCATCTTTTTTTTTTTTACTCCAGGTGGAGACATGCAAGAAATTCAGTTTAAAAGAACAGAGCTACTAGTATCTCCCCGGCACTGTCACAGTATGGAGGCGTTACTTACAGACGTCGCAATCATATTCCCGATACAGAGACCTTCATAATCACAAGTCATATGGAAGAGTTATATTCCATATCGCTCGTATGAGTCATGGCAAGTAGCATTGTTTACATCACACGTTGAGCAACATAAATAATGGACTAGGCTACGTTATTACAGGCAGAAGAGAGTAATTTTAGCGGTGTTCGACGACGACGATGGTGCGCAAATCGCGCTGAAAACAGGATGTTCTTAGAAGCGGACGTTGACGTTCCACGACGACGACGAATCTGCGTCGAATCTGCGGACGCGGCAGACGTCGGCGAGATTCTGCGAGCACACGGCACCGGGTTACTTACCATTATGACATGGGAAACGACAGGGTGCTCTTTCACGTGGACCAAAGTCGAGATCCGCTGGTGGTCCGATCAAGCTACGCGGTTTATCTTCACGCGGCGGTCCGGAAGGCGAATCGAGGAAGAAGCAGCCGGAAGATATTGACAATGTCACACTAGCGGTACGAGATGATCACTGGAACAGCTCACGAGTTGAAACCACACTCTCACAGCTGTCAGCGTCTGCAGCTGTCGTTGAGATCTTTACCTTACGAGCGAGACCGCGGTAGCTCTACTGTAGCGGCGGTGCTCGATAATTCGGTAATTCCCGAATCGCGTCGAGGCGATAATCGTCAAGATGATGATCGCGCGAGATAGCTGGAGATAGCATTGTTCCTTATCATTCTCTATTGCTATCCACCCACGTCCACCGTCCGGTTTAACCAAATTTCGCTGACGTAATAATCCGTATATATGTATATTATAAAGTTTTTTACTGAACTAGTGTACACTTTTGGAACTTAAAGTGAAATAGATATATATGTGTTTGATACTTGGCTAAAGTGGGAAAAAATGTTACAGTGTAGGAATAAAAAAACAATTGTTATTATTACGATTTCCTATCTGAATCACAGGAAAAGAGTGCATATATGTATATTTTTTTAACAAAGAAGCGTAAGAGAGAGAGAGAGAGAAAGGAGAGATAAAAAAATAATACTCCTGCTCTTATCTCTTAATTTTTTTATACTTGTTAAATAAAATATTAAATAAAATAAAATTTTTAGAACATAAAATAATTAAATTTTCTTAAAGAATTAACAATTAATTAAAATTGAAAAAAGGAATAATGCGCCTAGGTAAGCTGATAGTGTAATTATAGAAACAATTGTATTTTTTCTTAATCAAATTAAATAATTTTTAAATTCTCGTTAATATAATTTTATAAATATAAAATTTTAATTATTTGCGCAACCAGAAGTTTTACGGCAAAAGCATATACCCAAACAGCACAGAATATTTATGATAAATATTTATTAATATTTATTTTTTGAAATGTTATATAGATATTTTTATACATATTTTATATATACATATTTTTATACATATTTTATATAAATTTCAATTTATTTGAAATATTATTAAAATATAGATTAAATATTT